AGCGGTTTACCTGGATTTTATGGCTTGGACACTGGCAATTTTGGGATCCACCAATTTGCTCTTTAATTCTGGCTTCAGGTCCGATGTTCCTGAGTAGTAAATTATTGCTGAGGGGACGAGGCCCTCATCAATCAGACGATTTGATGGCGATAGATTCTTCCTTGGAGGTGTGACATCTGACAAATGAAAAAACAATTTATGAATTAAAAATCAATTATTGAATTATCCAACAAGCCATTTTTTTAAATTTCAAATTAATCCTAAACAAGTAATTTTTGAAAAGTTTCTCAATATTTTTAATGCTCACATAGATCGAAATCCTTCTCACAGTTCTCCAAATATTCTTTAATAAAGTCCTTAATGTGCTGGACAGTCTCCACCGGACCAAATATTCCCTGGAGAACCTTCTGCCTAGGGAACTGTATCCTAATTATCGTTTTCCTGTATTTATGGAGCTTATTGAGGGTTGACTGGGTGCGTTCTAATTCACGTTGGGCACTTGTGAGTAATGGGTTGTCCTCGAAAGCCTCTCTCTGACGTTTAGCATCACGCAAAAGAGTCTTAGCGTCATCCACGGTAAGATCGTAGAAATTATCAGGAAGATTTTCACAAGGAATCGCCTGGGCCTCCGCCTGATCGAAGATCAACGCATTTCTCTCTCCCAACTGAAAAAAAAATCAAAAACACCATTAAAAAAAACTTCCAAACAATTATTTACTCTCAGACATGGATTTAAATAGATTAAACTTTAAAATTATTACGTATTGGATAGGTTCAGTGATTTCTTCCTCCATCTCAGGGTCTTCCTCAGCCCCTGGAGAAATCGGTTGAGTGGATTTATAATTTTTAATCTCTGGCTCTGGTTCCCCTGTGTTCCCATGCCCCAGAACATTTCCACCACCGACAAATCGCTTCCCAGAACCTCGAGAATTTTTATTCTGCGCTCCTTTTTCATTCTTCAACATCGCGATGGGATCAAACGCCTTCTTCACTTGATTCTTGACATTCGATACCATATTATTAGCTGCATTGCTCGCCTGCTGCAGTGCTGTATTGCTGTTACCTTTCCTTTGAGGTTTTTCATTGGATTTGTTCGACTTTGAGGGCAGTTGACCAGCAACATGAGCTTGTGTTGTTAATTTATCTAAATCACGATGAAGAAGTCTCAACATGGCACGTCCATCACTCAGACCCAGGGATTGCAGGGATGTGGTGCTCAAATTTTCAGCCCCATGAATCTGAAAAAAAATTCATGATTCAATACATCTGACAACAAAATAATCAATAATCCAGAAACTCTCACCTCCTGGTGCATGTAAGTAATCACAGTATTTCCATCCTCCTCCCTAGGACAGAGGTTCCTGACAATTTCAATCAAGGTCGTCTCCGAGGAAAATTCCCCCATGACCCTCTGTCCATTCTCCAGTTGAATGCCAATAGTCACATTCGATGACTCCCTTTCCAAATTCCTCTGCACCATCTCCAACTGCGCATTATTTGGAAGTCCAGTGAACCGAAAAATCGAGCTCGCCTCGAGGGTCTGATTGAAGTGTCTAAACTCAAAAAAAAAAATCCTCAATTTCCATATTCTCCACCCTAATAAATCGGCCCAGATTTTTCTCTGAAAAATCAAAAAGCCCTGAGGAAAAGCATAAAATCACTGGAAAATTCCCATAACCCCATCCTCAGCCCAGAGTCAAATCTAGATTTGAATTAATAAAAAATAGTTCTGAACCAAAAATTTCACCTGAGATCCCATTTTTTCGAGCTGAACCCCTGCTTCTGACAGACTTCCTCGAGGACCTGTCCAAAAACAGTAAAATCATGGATCATCAAATTCCAAAGTAAAAAAAAAACGTCGAGGAAAATAACCCCCAAAGAGCAACGGAGAAGATGAGAAAATGGAGAAAATATTGAAATATCGTAATCTCACCTGCAAAATTGTAGTGTTGGGTGTTATTTTGACGTTTTGACGTCGACCATTGGGTGCAAGAACAGAAACACTCCTGTTTGCCGCCATGACGTACCTTTAACTGAACATTTAACATAACGACCACATGACACACAAAACGCGTGCGTGAGAATTCCCGAAGATCACAAGTACGAACAGCTGTTCTGGTCTGTCTCTGTCGTAAGATAAAACTTTTTTATTTACCCCGAATAATCATTCAATTACCCCAATACAACCCAACCCC